TCCACCTGAGTTACAAATCTTTTCTATTATTTCAAACAGTAAATGTGTTGTCATAAACACAAATTTAAGTCAAACTAGCGTTTACTTTAGAAAAAAATTGTCGGAATGGGGCGTTTTTTTCTATTGTCCACAATTGTATTTTAACTGATATTTCCTTCAATATTACATTTCAGTGGTTATGGAGATGATATAAGCAGGTGAGTTAATTACTCAGAAATTTGCGTATTTTTTGGAATAAATCAAATCATCGAGGTTTTTGATTGGACAGTAAATTGTGTCATGTATCTAGTCCTTTTGTTTAGTGTAGACTGAATTGCATCGATCAAGTTTACAATGTTACCACCATGCCACTAGGTGGCTCTCCATCATGGTACACTTATGACTGTTATCATTAGATGGTTGAAGGCAGTTAGCAGTAGGCCTTGCCTAACCTAGGACTAGTGCTTGTTGTCATATTGCAAACTTAACCCATAGAATTCAACCTGTGCTAAACAAAAGGACTAATTACATGACACCAGTTAATGGGGATTCAAAAGTTTTCTAATACAGTCCTACAGGAGGTCATAGACATGATCAAATAGCTGATTGGTAGTGTGTCTGACCTCAACAACGGGTGACACGTGTTCAATTCTCAGAAGTAACACGAGTTCCTCCAAGATTGCAGATATGCCTTGCTGGCTGGAGAATGCTAACAGGCACGAAACCTAGTTCAGGTAAGGCTTCCTGCATATTGCCTCAAATCATCTGATGATATCTCCTAGCAGTGGAAAGGATTTTTTTCTATGTGAAATTAATGCAAATAGGAATCATAACTAATATCAGTAAAATATTACCAATAACAAAACTTATCATTGTGTGTAAACTATTGAAATATAATTATACTTTATATGAATCATAACTGCCTGAATTCTCCGAATTATTCAAACGTTCGACACTAACCTTAAAAATACATTTCTTTGAAAACTTTAGGGCCAGCCACTTCGACGTTGTGTGAGTGAATATAATTCTTATGTCAAGGAAATATATTTTATATATATATATATATGTTTTCTTCTATTAGGTGCAGATTACTTTCTATTGTCTAAAACTTGCGAAATATACTCTGCCCTAAAGCTTCGTGACACCCAGAATTACCAATTCATGCAGATTAAGTTAGTACTGTGAACAGTCGCAGTTTTCCTTGAACTGATTCAGCTCTCTGAGCTAAGACGAACTGAGTACACTACTAATGATTTCAGCTCCAGCCGAGCAAAACGGATGTCGGGTGTTTGGATCACTCTGATAAAGCTGTCACGCTCTATTCGTAGTATCTATTCGTTGTATCTAACTATTCATCTCAATCAATCAGTAGTATATAGATTTGCGCAAAAGTCTTTTTAATTTTAAGGTAGGCAATGAATTCAAACGATAACATCTTGAGAGATCTCTTTTTATTTCAAGAAAATAATTTTTTTATCCAAGATACGTGAAGATGAAATAAAGGAAATCAAAAAATCACTTGTCAAGCATTTAAACGTTTTCTGAAAATAACGCGAAATTAATTTGGGAACTGCTTTCTTTTGCTCATGCTATTTGGTGAATTCCAATACAAAATAGTATCGTGTTAATAAATCCTCAGATATTGTTGATAAATATGTAATAGATACCTCCAATTTGACAAGAGGCAAACACTTCGAATCAGTAACACAACAGGAAAACACAAATTCAACTTAATCCACTTTCTTTCTTTAAATTTTATTTAACAGATTGACCATGTTACATAAAATGTAAGTTTTCTTCCCGATTTTGGTTTCAACAGTTGGGTAAATCAGTGAAAATATGTTTGATTAATATGAGGTTCGGGAATTTTCTTTAGATACGATTTGAAGTATCAAGTGAACTTAGTTAATTGTTCCAATGTCAGACATTGGTTAGAGAACCATTGGAAAACCTGGGAGTACTGAACAACTTTTGAATCCTAGTTTACGACTCTTCAGCGGTACGCACCCAGCGGGGTTCGAACCCAGGACCTTCTGGTTACCAGGCCAGCGGGCTAGGTCGAAGACCATTAGGGCACTGGGACCCGATCCAATGGCCATGAATTCTAACTTCTGCCAATTCACGACATAGAGCGACCACTAGCCAACGTCTTGGGCGAGTATTTCTCCCCACACTCGACCCGCTGCACCCTAGTGGTCACGGCTTTTCACTAAAACCGCAGATAATTACCTACCCGAATAAGGCAAGTCGTTAGTGGGCATCCCATCGATATTCAGGTTTCTTGTTGACACAACGTGCAATTCAAGATATATATATATATATAACTTGAGTAATTGTAAGTCCTTTCGAACATGAGGTGATGATACAATCAAAACAGTCTGTAATGGTAGATGTAAAATGTTTGTCGATCAGTGTAGCTTAGCCTTCTGCAGTCAACTGTATACACAGAGGGTATGATAATAAGCTCTATCTATTCTAAACTTACCACTGGTTTTCATGAAAATTTATATTCCTGCTGTTTTAATTTTCAGAGAAAATGGCATGAAACACGGGTCAGTGCTAATTGTCTTTTAATATCTTACAACTTTACTAAAATATTGCTCAGTTAGCGTTTGTTCATTGGCAATATGAAAGTATTTATGAAACATGAAATGATCTGCAATTAGTAGTGTTCTCTGAGCTGGTTGGTTTAGTTGCGGAGCTTTTGTCGTCCTCCTGAACAACATCTCCACCGCAATTTTCAGCATAGAGTAAACTGATTTAAATTTGCTATGAGTGATAGAATTGCCTCTCCCGGCAATCATCTTTAGATATGTACTGATCGTTTTTTAATTGACTCGGATTTTAAACTTTCTCGTCACATGAATTGTTTTTTATTACTTGGTGTACTTGGTCTATATTAATATGTTTGTTAATAGCATATTCGTTTGATTACCAGGCTTTTAGGAATCCCCTGGCACTTTTGGTGTTTTCTCTGTCTCAAATTTCGACATTATTCCAATCACGTTAGGATGGAACATATGTAAATATGATTACCGGTAGACGCATGGAAAATTTAAGTCACTTAACTTTATGCTAAAATCCTCACTGAAGATGATATCGAGAAGGACGACGAAAGCTCCGCAGCTAAACCAACCAGCTCAGAGAACACTGCTAATTGCAAATCATCCATCTGAGTTGCAAGTCATCTTTATTATTTCAACATGAAATGATCATTTAGGTAGTAAAAGGAAGCGATTTGGTTTGTCATAACTGATGTATGTAGACAGGCGTATAATTTCTAGTGCCTTCTAGTATTACAGTCTGATACCTTTGCTGGTCAGAGGTAAACAGAATGGTGATAAGACATTAAGGCACTTTTAAAGTGTAGGCAATGAGGTAATTGTCTTCTTTCCATCGAATAAGGAATATTTAACCAATAGTACCACGCATCATATTTATGAATTTGTTTTAATTTATATATCTGTCTTCAATGGACAATCCATATCAACCTTTCATACGTGGTATCTTACTTTTATGCTCCCCCCAAGGGTAGCTGAAATATGGAATTCATTCGGCTAATGTAGAAGTCTGCTAATAAATGTAATAATTATTCACTCTCTACTATCTGAAAATCAGTCACTCGTATGACGGAAAACTCAGGTTGCAATAGACTTTTATTTCAAAATGCATTATGGTGATACCATCATAATTAGTGAATTTGTGTCTGATTTTGCACCTGGTACCATGATTTAACCTACTATTTAGTCGTTATTTTACAAACTGAAGTGACATTTTAGCAAACGATGAAATTCCTAGGATACTTCGCTCAAAATATGTGCAATGAAACGTTAGTTTTTGGTCACTGATAGAAAGTTGATTTAGGTAATGAAGATATTTACTAATACGTACAGTTAGTATTGACTTAAAACATTATCAGTAAATGTTACTGTATAACACTGTGTGACTTTATCAAAGTAATTTTATCCATAATGGAATTATACTCTACCAGAATGCCCAAATATCTATCCTTATATCACTATTCACCCTTCACTATTTGAAAAGCTATTCATGAAGTACTGAGATACAAGTTTTACGACAAAAACCGACTCATTGCAGTCTGAGCGACGGAAAAGGATCTTTGCGTCCTACTACATAGCTGACAAAATATCCTTGAAACTTACTCAGTCACTAAGTACTCGAAAGGTAGTAAAATGACGATTTTCCCAGTGATTTGTGGTTCTATAAAATAATGATAACATCAACACCTCAAAATTACCTCAAAAGCACTGTAAAGCAGCTGCACAATAGGGTCAAAGCACAGAAAAAATACTAAGAAGCAAGTAGAATATTCGCAAAATGGTTGTATCCAAAGTGCTGTCCACTAGAATCATACACCAGTGGCGTCTACAAACAATCAAAGGTCAGAAATGACCTTGCATCACTCAAACAAAATTATTTTTATTATTGTTTGTTTTGATTAAAGCATGATTCCACAGAGCACTTTTGGTACAAGTATGGAATTTTCAGCATGTGATATCGGTGTGCGTCGGCCGGGAATCGAACCCCTGACCATGTGCATGGCCGCTAAAGTCCTAACCGCTATACCATTGACTCACATTGCAATCAAAATTAGGGATTAAACAGGGAGAGAGACAAATAATGCAAACAAAATCAACATGTGATATGAAAATCTAATGTTATGCAGTCTAGGATAAAAATGGATAATAGTTACATAGTTAGTTGAAATGTCCAATTAAGTATAAATACTGTGATTAGATTGTTCTTGAGGTATTTTACAAAAAGTTATACCGTTACAAGTTTTCGTGTCAAACTGAAATATAATGACGATAAATTTCTGAGAATATTTTCGTATTTGCTTACTCCTTCGAAAATTAGGCGAAATATCACCTAGTAAGTTTAGATAAATAAATCTCTGAATTTTGCTTCAGACTTTGAATACTATGTCTTTTCTCTGACTTTATACAAGAATTGAGTCAGCGATTAAATCTTCTAACATCTAAGGGGAATAGCCATATAGATAAAATCCTTGCGCAGAGTGTAAAAACGTCTGCCGCATGAAGACTCCTCATCACAGCTTCACTCTTGTTAATTGAAATTCATTGACAGATTCTGAAAACAGTGACAAATATAAATATTTACCTGGATATTTAGATTCACTGAACTCACACTTGAGTTTCTATTTGTGTGACGCTTGTTTTTCTAAATTTATGAAAATATTAGAAAATCAGAAGGTTAGAGCAGAAGGATAGTTTTGGGGAATCTATATATATTCATCTACATAAAAAAACACCATCTGACAAAGGTGAGTAAATGCTCACAGTGTACACACTAAATTCAAAATGTCTAATCAAATTTCCACACACAACTGTTAGCTTAGTGCATAAGTACTAATCATAAAACTAAATACGCACATATACATAGTGTACTATGATAGTAAGGCTGAAGGTTTCTCCAAATTCGTTAGCTTTTAAAGTTCAGAGTTCAAGAAAACTAGAGGTTTTGAAACACTAATTATTTTGCTGATATAACTCAAGATCAAAAATCGATTGTTACTGGTAAAAATTAATGCAGTGGTTGAACTTCTCTTTCAATCTCTGTTCGTCAGTATGAACAATTATGATTTGCTTTTAAATCCATTCTGATTTCTTTGTGAGCTGTTTGGACCAATATGTAGGCTCTCGATGTAGACTCTCTGGCTTAAAATCAAGTAACTGACTCATGCCCATTGCACAAGAGGTGACTTTCTTATCCCGTTTGGATAATTCCTTGGTGTTCAAAACAACTTGTGCGTTGACTGAGTCTTGGTGTGGATACGATCACTTACTAGAGAATGTAGATACATCCAGTTGACGTGTACCGAATAGGGTGAAACGCACGCTCTGGATTGCACTACTAGGAACCATCCAGAAAATTACTTCCTGAACAAATCATGCTCACCAACTTTAATTAACACATTTACTAATCCACTTTTAATGTTTTTTTTAAAATAATATTTTCCCTTCAAGTGATGCCAAATATCTGTAAGTGCCAGAAAATGCTTTTCTTGAATAATTTTCGACACTAATAAAAGCAAATTCTTAATCGTATTTTAATCGGTCACTTATGCAGTTAAAAAATGGGGGAGACTATAAATATCAAGGTCACAAATGATGAACATTTTGCTAGGTAATTCATGGTTCGAGTCCCATTGAATCATTCAAAGTTGATTGAGAATAATCTCAGATTGTTTAGGAAATCAAAACAAGATTTGTTTGAATATTTGGCAGTCTGAGCTACAATTATATATAGTGTTACAGTCTAACTCAAATCAGTTAAATCTTTAGGAAAAGCTTTAATTAATGACAAAGATATACATTTACTAAAGTGATACAAAGCAACTCCGTCCATAGGGTGAAATTTTCAGGATGTGAAGCTTGTTTTAAATGAAAGGGAGTAAGCAGATGAATGTCTGAGTCAATGAACATGAACAGTATAGGGAACGGCCGTCTAGAAATAAAGTGGAATTAGGGTCTAAAAGAAAAGTTGGTTTACCAATAAATATTTAGAGAAAGAGATCATACGAACGATTCTAGCAGTTCAAAAGTGCCAGGAAACATCTTTTATTCACATGAAGAAAAGTCGACCTTTGAACCTTTGTAATTTTTAACTGCACGCAGTGTAAGAAATCGGGTACACTGGGTAGAAATGTTACTAACTGGCGGACTCTAAAATAGTAAAACAGGTAAAGGTTGTTCATAACTATTTCCAAACCTTTAAACAATAAATATTTTAAATAAAGTGAACAAATGTGCAGGTATACACATGTAACAATTTAAGATTGACAGGCTAGGATATGATTGGTTACAGGTTTCATCACGACCTAGAGAAACCTAGAGAATACTGAATACTTAGATATGATAGAGAAGATTTGTAGCTCAGGTGGATAATTTTGATGTGGTTTTGTTCTCTGAGCTGGATAGTTAGTTTGCGAAGCTTTCATCACCTTACTGGGTGACATCTTCAGCGCATACTTCAAATTGAAGTGAGCTTTTAGGTTTCTCCACGAGTTTATTAATCATTCCTCCTGGTGACCTTGGACGTGATTGGTTGTTTATGTATGTTTTCACACCTTCTAGGTTACTTGTGTTGGAACTGATTGTTTCTGTGACTTGAACTTTGGCCAATCGTGTGTGAAGTGTGTGAAAGAAACTTCACACACGATTGGCCAAAGTTCAAGTCACAGAAACAATCAGTTCCAACACAAGTAACCTAGAAGGTGTGAAAACATACATAAACAACCAATCACGTCCAAGGTCACCAGGAGGAATGATTAATAAACTCGTGGAGAAACCTAAAAGCTCACTTCAATTTGAAGTATGCGCTGAAGATGTCACCCAGTAAGGTGATGAAAGCTTCGCAAACTAACTATCCAGCTCAGAGAACAAAACCACATCAAAATACTGAATACTTGTTTCGTCCCTGTAGTACGCACCTGTCGTGGTTCGAATCTACGACCTACCCCTTACAAGGCGAGTTTGTACACCAATCAGTTACTGGAATGGAATCTACACATAACCACAGATATATGTATATTTGAATAAATCGCAGAAGATGGAATTCAAAGTTCACTGGATCAGGTCTCATTGTCAGAATTGTCTAAGCGGAAGGTCCTCATTTCGAACCCTGATGGATGTGTACTGTTGAAAAAAATATATATGTCGACTCATCGCATTTATTCAGCCTATACTAAAGTCTGCCGATATGTGAACTTCAATCAAGTTCACCTTCATTTATAAACTATTCGAGCAAACATTTTGGTAGTTGACAACTGCGCGCAATGCTATTAGAAACATGCTGTGGCTTAGATTGTGGAATGTCCAGAGAAAAATCGTCTGTTTGAGTTTTGCTGAGTATTCAGGGATTAGTTAAAGTAATTTTAATAAAATGTGACGAGATTTATGCTAGCATAGATATTAAACAATATTTCATTAAGATAAATAATAAAGGATTTCATAGATGTCACATGTGCACAGGCCAAGGTGTAGTTCAGATATTTTGGTAAAAACTGACGCGATTTTGCAAAGTGGTATGCTTTTCATTTTATGTTTCCTATTACAGACGCTCTGTTTCAACGAATGTGTAAGTAATATAATCTATTAAATCATCTATACAGATATTTGACCTGTTTTGGTTATGAGTGGAACATTGTGTTTCAACAGCACATCTTCGTATAACCATCTTCTCTGCAGTCCTCTTTAGCTAGCTTCATCATTGTCCACAACCTCACAGTTCCTGCTCACATGAATCCCTCCATGTCATCCTTGGACTCCTACTTGACCGCACCATATTCAGGTTAAATAATTAATACGATCCGTTGCACAATAGGTGGTTCTCATGGTCCAAGTGGTGTCTAGTGAAAAACGCTTTGGCGTTTGAAACTATGGGCAGGTACATCCATATGACAAGTTACAAATAGGACGAAATGCGCAACCTGAATTACACTGCTAGTCACCATCTATCAATTAACTTTTAATTAAATACCCAGACATCGTGGAAGCATCTACAGGAGAAACCCAGATGTCAATGTGAAACCAAGCCCTTTGGTCTAATCACTCAACGGAAAAATATAAAAAACTGAATTAAAGTTATGTAATTTTGTCTTGTAAGAAAACCAGGTGATATAGTGGTGTTTAATGATGAACTTTCGAGCACAATTTGTTACTGACTACCAGTGTGCTCCAAATGTCATCAGTGAATAATGTTGTACCTTGTTGCTCAATTTTACCAAATAAAAGTATTCTAGGATGCGAGTTTCACTCCACTCTGTCGAATATCGTGAATTCACTTAAATATTATACAAAGGATTGGCATTTAAAATTTGTTCTCTTTCTAAGAGTTTATATGTCTGTACATGCTATAAAATATGTCCTGTGGAAACACTTTCAATTTTTTTCATATTAGGCACAATTTCTTCACGAAACAGTAAGAACACAAACATAATTATTTATTGAAATCATAAATTTGATCAGTTAATTATATTATTTGAAATTTGATACCATTTTAGAAAAATAAACTGTGAAGAGAACTGCAAATCTGTTAGATAACCCTGCAACTCAAGCTTGAACACACATATATACTTATTCTTTTCAATAATGTCCCTTCAGGTTCTTACAATCATAAAATATAAATTTATTTTCAAGAATTGGTTTTGAAGGGATTTTGTTTGATTGCATGGAGGATTTAATCATGAGCTGACATCAGTTAGAGAACCACTGGAAAACCGGGAGTACTGGACAGCTGTTTCGTCTTAGTTTGAGACTCTTCATCAGTACGCACCCACCGGGATTCGAACCCAGGACCTTCTGGTTACAAGGCGAGCTCGTAGACCGTTGAGCCACTGGGACCCGATCCAATGGTCCTTGAATTCTAATTTCTGTCAATTCACGACATAGCGCGACCACTTCGCAATGTCTTCTTAGATGAGTTACTGCCTCATCTTCAACCTGCTGTACCCTACTTTATTGTCGTTACGATAGTGATAGCTGCCTCACTCTGATGAAATAAACTTTGTGAAGTACGCTGATGATTTAACGGTTTCAATGGCTGTTAACTCCCAGCTAGATTGTACTAAAATAAATAGCTTTTTATCGGGAGTCAGCAAATGGTCTGAGTCTAACGGTCTTAAACGGAATCCTTCTAAGTGTCAAACTGTTGATTTCAGCTTAAGATGTAAACGACAGTTAAAAAAATTCATCGATTCTCATGACAGTTGTAAAATTGACGTCAATGATATAGGAATCAAATCAGAAATTAAGTATCTTGGACTCATTCTCTCTTCAGATCTCTCCTGGTCTTCCCATGTCTTAGCAATCTCCAGTGAAATATTCCGCCTGACATTTTACATTAAGAAGTTAAGACACTCGGGTATAACTCAACCCCTCCTCTTACAGTTCATAAACTCTTGCATCCTACCTATTCTTCTTTATTGCTCACCCTTATTCTTTCCTGGTTTGCTTAAAAAGGACTATGTCACAATTCGTAGAATACTGAAGACTGTCAGTAGGGTGAGTGGTGTCCCAGTGGACCACATAGTTAACGTCGTTGTCGATAGGCACTTGTATTGATGATTCTTCTCACCATGAGTGCTCCTTCCCCTTAACCCTCTTGGGTATTTTAACTGTGCTTATTATTACGAACATTATTATTCCAATTATTATCATTATTCGTCATAACTTGTGCCCTTCATGCAAACATCCTCTCAAAACTATCGAATTTTTCACTCGTACTATCCGGACCTACTATTAGTGATATTATCTCTTTTCTCAATATATGCTTCCACCTGTTTCATTCCACATATTCCTTATCGCATTATGAAACTCTCATTCCAGTCTTACTACCTCCTGTTTAACACAGACCACTTTGTACTAGCCACTCACTCACCTGACACCTTTTATATCCTTGAACTGATTTGTCAATCTTCCTAACTCACACTCTACAAATCTATTATGATTAATCACCGCCATTGTCCCCCATTTCACAATATTTTGTGATCGATTTCAGCCTAGCACGTTTGTCGCACAAATACGACTATTTGTTTTAACACCCCATAACAACTAATCTGATAATCTACGTTAACAATGTATCCACCTCATAACTGGCTATCACTATTGTAACGACAATAAATATTATATTTGATAATTGTAAGAACCTGAAGAAAAATCACTGAAAAGAATATTCTTCGTTGAGATTGACTTTTAATTCATAAAATGGGAATATTTTACACTATCAAATATATATTTATATTCATTTGGACAGTAGGTCGAACGTTTCATTGAATGAAATGTCTTCTACAGGAAGTTCATGACAAACTTCACTGATATTCAAGAGAGCGGGATAGAGGAGTAGTTTCTTCACTTCCATCTTTTGGTGTATTTAGGTAGGAGATCTCAAAGATAATCGGATTTCTAAGATATCTCGCTTGTTGAACGATGAAATCACAAATTAACCTGTCAAATGTTTGGAATACTCGTAGAGTCTCCTATGATTTTACCTTGCACTGAAATATGTATTTGCTAAGCAGTTTGACCAAAAACCGAATTCATAAGGAATATGGCTCAACGATATATAACGATACATTAATCATGGGAACAGGCATAAAATGGACTGACACAAAAGACTTGGAGGATCTGGATTTCGCCGATGATATATGTCTGATTTCCCATAAACTGGAAGATATGCAAGTGAAAAGTAACAAGTTGGCAGAAGAAGCATCAAAGATAGGACTTCACGTGAACATAGATAAAACAGAGATAATGAAGATTCCTAGCCAACATCAACAGCAACAACAACAACAGACAACAATAAGCATAAATGGGAAGAACCTGAAAGAAACAACCTTCTTCACCTACCTGGGAAGCATCGTTTCAACTACAGGCGGAACTGACGAGGACATCAAAGTCAGAATCGGAAAAGCAAGACAAGCTTTCATTACTCTCAAATCTGTGTGGAGGTCAACAGCAATCAGCATCAAAAATAAGATCCGGATTTTCAACTCCAATGTGAAGTCAGTGCTACTATACGGATCAGAGACTTGGCGAGTCATAAAGAGCATCTCAAACAAACTTCAAACCTTTATTAACAACTGTCTCCGCTCAATACTCAAGATCAGATGGCCAGAAAAGATCAGCAACAGGGATCTCTGGGAGCTAACCAATCAGGAACCGATTGTGAAACAAATAGGCAGAAAGAAATGGAGATGGATTGGCCATATGCTGAGGAAACCATC